AGATTGTATAACCATTACCACAAACTAAATTTAGAGTGTCTTAGAATTTTTTTTTATTGAATATCTGTGAGATGGACTATTATGAAGCTGTTCATGATTGGATTTCAGTCATAAATGATCCAACACCCATCCCTCCACCAGTACACAGTTCCCACTACCAATGTCCCCCGTTTACCTCCTGCCATCCCCCAACACCCACCTCCACCTCTAGCCTTGCCTCTTGCTTTCTTCTCTCTCTCTCTCTCTCTCTCTCTCTCTCTCTCCGCCCCCCCCCCTTCCTTTTGTGCATTATGGTTTGCAATACAGGTGCGAAGAGGACATTGTGTTTGTTCAGGTTGTTCAGCGGTTTTTCTCAGGAAGTGAGGCTGGAGTAGCTTTTTTGACTGGGTGGGAACTTTGGAATGTGGACGTGACTGATGAGGTTTCTGGCAGGACAGGGAGGTTGGGGGAGATAGCCTCTCTCAACCCCGAGAAAGCCTGGGGATTTCAGTCACAAAACCTACACACCCAAGTTTTCAGCAGATTATATCTTGGTGAGTTCTGTCCTGAAACAGTGGAGTCAGACTGGGAACATGGTGATGATTTTGGATTGTGGGAACAAGTGGCTGCTGGGGGCTCCGCTTGGGCAGGCACCAGGCCAACCCGTCCCCCTCTGATTTACCCCAGTCTGTTCAGGCATGCATGGGTCCAAGATTAACTGCGACCAGTAGAAGAGCTTATATGGTGGCACTGCAGTTGGTTCAGGGGGGTGGCTCCCACATATCTAAGTTTTGGTCTTTTAATTTCTTGGGAATCTTGGTCCTGAGTTGTTGTGGTCCTGCCAGAAGCACAGTGACAATTTTTGGGTATCAGAAAGCCTGAAGGCACCATCAGGCTGTTGATGCATTTGCCCCTCCGGGTACAGGTTGGCTTACTGATGGCACTGCACCCTCATTTAGGGTGTGTTCAACATCCCTGAGATAATAATACAACAATACAACATATAATGAGTTAGTTCCCATTCTACCTTGTATCCTGTTGACTTCTTGTCTCTTTATAGCCAAAACAATCTATTTTCTATCTATGTATATTTTCCAACCTGCAGTGATATGTGGACTTTTGGGTCATAGTTCATTTAACAGTATGCTGCTTTCCTTTGGGAGGGATTACTGGGGGAGCACCCCAAAGTGTGCTTGGAGAACCCAGGGGCCGCTTCTACTGATCCTGGTGATAGTCAACAGATCTGACTGTTGCCTGGCAATGCAGTGCTGCTTGGGTTCAGCGGGTCAGGGGACTCTCTGGGGCTATGCCCACCAGCAGTGCTCAGGGACCATACAATATCAGAGCTCAAACTTCATTCCTTGCACATGCAAGGCATGTACCCCAATTCTTGAGTTCTCTCTCTCACATGATATTTCAAGTTCTATGTAGAGCAGGCATCAATACCAAATCCTGTTTTATGGTCAAATTATATTTCATTCTATGGATATATACCACATTTTGTTTACCCATTTATAGTTGCTGGACATTTTGTTTATTTCTACTTTGGGGCTGTTACGTTAATGCTACTGTAAATAGTCCTGTATAGTAACATTGTAGTTCCAGTTCTCTGAGCTATCTCCTCAGCCTATTATTAAAAATTAATAATTTTTAATAAAAAATATGTCTTGTTCACAAATCATTCCTTGTTGGTAGGAAAGACTAACTAGAAACTAGAGATAAGGGCCGGAGCAATAGTACAGTGTAGAGGGCATTTGCCTTGTACGTGGCTGACGTGGGTTCTATCTCCAGCACCCTATATCGACCCCTGAGCAACACCAGGAATAATTCCTGAGTGCGGAGCCAGGAGTAACCCCTGAGCAATACCCAGATGTGCCCCCCAAAGCCAGAAAGCCAAAAAATAAAAAAAGAGAGAGAGAGACTTAGAGATAATCCAGAAACCTCATTTTTTTTTGGGGGGGTGACCTGGCTTACCTCTGGCTCTGTGCTCAGATACCACTCCTGGCGGGGCTCAGGGGACCAAATAGGGCACTAGGGATTGAACCCAGGTTAGCTGCGTGCAAAGCAAGCACCCTACCCACTGTACTATTGCTCTTGCCCCAGAAATCTAATTTTATTTATTTTTGTTTGGGGGCCATGCTAGTGGTGCTCAGGACTTATTCCTGGCTCTGTGCTCAGGAACCATATGAGGTGCTGGGAATCAATCTGGGCTTGATCACATGAAGGCAAGCATCTTTATCATCTCTTTAGAGCTCTTTCTTTCTCTGCTCTCAGAAACTTTACTTTAGTCTTTTTTTTTTTTTATAATGTAGGAGTACTGCCCATGGCAGAGCCTGGCAAGCTTCCTGTGGCGTATTCAATATGCCAAAAACAGTAACAGTAATGGGTCTCATTCCCCTGACCCTGAAAGAATCTCCAGTATGGCACTGTTGGGAAGGATGAGTAAGGAGAGGCTGCGAAAATCTCAGGGCTGGGACGAATGGAGACGTTACTGGTGCCTGCTCGAGCAAATCGGTGAACAATGGGATGACAGTGATACAGGAGTACTGCTGTTTATTCAGCCATTGATTAAGCTGGTTGACTTGGGCATGAACTCCACATGATTTTTTTTTTATTCAGAATGTTAATTTTATTTATTATTTTATTATTATTATTTCCCCTCCCCCCCACCCCGTTTTTGATTCACTTTGAGGTAGAGTTACAAAGCTTCATGTTTGAGTTTTGGTCATATAATCATCAAACACCCATCCCTTCAGCAGTGCTCATTTTCCACCACGAAAATCCACAGTATTCCCCCCCCCACCCCGTTCCCACCCTTCCCCTGCCTGTGTAGCAGTCAATTTCCCCCATACTCTCTCTCTCAACTTCGGTTGCGTTCGGTATTTTGACACTAGTCCCACCACCACTCAAACCTTCCGAAAAGGCAATACTGGATGATTTGTTTTGTGTTGTTGGTCATGGATAGAATGTCCAGGAAATTCTGTGTTGTTCTCTTCTGGGATTTAGTATTCTTTTTTTTTTTTTTTTATCTTTAGCAACAATTTTTCAGGAGGGTACTGGGAATTGAGTCCAAGACCTGACCTCATATGTGCAAAGCATGCATTCCGTGCCAACATTTTAAACTAATTAACGTTCCACTTCTATTTGAAGCCTTTCTTCATATTTTGATAGCCACACTTATATGAGGTAAAATGGAAAGAAAGGGAAAAAGCAACAAAAGATAGCTTACTGAGTGAACCTCCTATTATACAGAATAGATCATGGAAATGGAGACTTTCAGGCTTGCTTAACACATGTTTGTGAACTTTGACAACAAGATATATGGGGATTTGCAACCAGTTGAATCTCTTTTTTTTCATAATTTTATTTATTTTTTCTTACATATATTTATTGAATCACTGTGGGAAAAGTTACAAAGCTTTCAGGTTTAAGTCTCGGTCATACAATGATCAAACACCTTTCCCTTCACCAATACTCTTTTTTCACCACCAAGAACCCCAATATACCCCCCTCCACCCCTCCCAATGCCTGTGAGGCAGATGGTTTCTACTTAACTCTTCTCTACATTGATTACATTCATTATTTCAACAAAAGATGCACCATTATTGTCTAGAATTCCCCCCTCCCCCAACAATCAGAATTGCTGAAAAGGCATTGTGAAATACTTTTTTTTTCTATAGCTGGTTATGAGAATCATACAATGTCACACAGCCACGATTTTGGATTTCTGCAAAGAGCCAGATAATTACGAGATTGGTTTCTGTGTGTCTGGTGTTATGGCTGTGCGGAGAGCCACTTGTGGGGGGCAACTTGTGACGTCGGTAGGACGTGAAGCCAATTGAATCTTTTATGCATCTTTTAAAATTATTTATTTATTGATTGGTTGGTTGATTTTTGGACCACACCTGGTGGTGCTCTGGGCCTACTCCTGGTCGGCCGCAGGGATCATTCCTGTTGGATTTGGGAGACTATTTGTGGTGGCAGGGATCAGACCCAGGTCAGCTGTGTGCAAGGCAAATGTTCTACCCACCGTACTAACACTCTGACTTGCAATTTTTTAAAGAAATCCATATTTTGGTGCGCTAGAGCAATAGTACAGTTGGGTAAGGCACTTGCCAACCCAAATATGATCAAACTTCAGACATGCGAGTTAATTTGCAAGATAAGTGAATTATCCACTATTACTGATCTATCTCTCTGCTCCCAAGCTTTTGATAGTTTGATAGTGGGGAACCAGGTGAAATAGAAGTAACCTTCTTTTTAAAACCACTTACTTTTTCTGGAAGGCCAGAGAGATAGCTCAGTGGCCTGAGCCCCTGCTTTTGTGTGCCCAAACTGCGTGTTTCTCCAGCACTGCCAGGACTGACTTCTGAGTGTTGAGCACTGCTGGGTGTGATCCCAAAATAAACAAACCCCCCAAAATTAGAAACAAAGCAAAACTTTTTCCTAAAATAGACACTCTAGGCCCCCCAAACAAAAACAAACAAAAAGCCCTAAATTTAGGATCTATTCATTTTCATGTACTAGTAAAAAATTCCATGATAATCTGACCCTTTCAAGTGGTTTATAATTTGTTTCCAAATGATAGGGTCTTAAGCTTTTTGTTTTGCTTTTATTTTAGGGCTACACCTGGCAGTCCTTGGGTAACTCCTGGCTCTGCACTCAGGAATTACTCCTGGAGGTGCTAGGATATGAGATGTGTGGAATCGAACCTGGATCAGGGTGTACAAAACAAAATACTATCGATATATTGTCGCTCTGGCCCCTTGAGCCTTTATTTTTTTTGTTTTTTGGGCCGTATTCAGTGGTGCTCAGTGTTTATTCCTGGCTGTGCACTCAGGGATCACTCCCGGCAGGGCTTGGGGGACCATACGGGATGCCAGAGATTAAACCCAGGTCAGCTGCCTGCAAGGCACGAGACCTGTCCACTATACTGTCGCTTCATCCCACCCTCTTGAGAGTTTATAGTACAATTATTAATATTGCTTACTAAGTTGAGAATTTGTCCCCCTTCTGTTTAGCCTTTCCCAGCACAGGCTTTGACCGTCATACTTCTCCAGTATTCAGCCCTGCTAACCCCGAGAGCTCAGTAGAAGACTGCTTGGTTCATCTTGGAGAAAAAGTGTTACAGGAACTGAAGGAACCTCTGCGGAAAGCTGTGCAAAAGCTCCTTGACCAGTGAGTTACATTGCTGAGTGGGAAAGTTTGTCCCTGCGTAACTGTGGACTTTATCGGTGTCACTTTTTCTGTTTGTTCGTTGTTTGGGCCACACCTGGTGGCACTCAGGGCTTACTCTTGGCTCTGTGCTCAGGAATTACTCTTGACAGTGTTCCGGGGACCACATGGGGTGCTGCAGATCAAACGGGTTGATTGTGTGTAAGGCAAGCACCTTACCCGCTACTGTCTTCAGCCCCATGTGTCACTTCTTTTCTCAGCGTACTTTCTTGACTTCTTTTTTCCTTTTGCTTTCCCAAAGTATTTTTATTTAAAAAAAAAGGGGAAAGGAAAGGGGCTTGCTTTTTCAAGTCTGTGTTCTCCTTTCAATACAGTTGCTTGCTTGTCTCTCTGGCTTGCTTTTGCTTGGAGAAGCCGTGTACTTGTACATGTACCCTTGCACATGTGCTTCTTCCCTTTCTCTCCCCTCACATCTTTCTAAGCAAGTTTTGTTCAATAAAAACTATCTTGCTTCAGAGAGAGAGAGAGAGAAGGGGGTAGCGAGATGGAGAAGGAGGGAGAGGGAGAAGGAGAGAGGGAGGGGACTCATACGTGAGCCAGATCGGATCCCATACTCTCGATTTGTGAAGTTTTGTTTTCGTCCCCTTTTGTGCCTCACTCAGCAAAGCTCTGGGCATCAGGGGTTACTCCTGGCTCTGCACTAAGGAATTACTTTTGTGGTGCTTGGGGGACCATATGGGATGCTGGGGATTGATTGAACCCAAGTTGGCCTCCATGCAAGGCAAACACCCACTGTACTATTGTTCCAGCTCCTTTTATTTGTGTTTTTACTAAGAATTTTTCTTGCATCAAAGCATTGATTTAACTATTCCAACTTGGATTCCAATTTGGACTCTCTGAATTGTGTGATTTTCACAGATCCTTCTACTGAGCTATAAATTTGTCTTGAGCACTCCTTTCCATGTAAATTTACCATTTCATAATTCCTTTTGAAATTTTTTTTGTGGGGCATCCTGGGCATAGCTTGGGACCTAGGGGCCACTTCCAGCATTACTCAGTCAAATGGGCTACTCAGACCCCAGGGTGATGGGGATCACCAGGACCATTCTGGAAGTACTGGGGGCCTTGAGTACTGTACTCAGAGGTACTTGAAGGTCCATGAAGTGCTAGGGTTCAAATTTGGTTATAGCACATGCAGAGAGCATGCAAAAATGCACCACAGTCACAGTCTTCCCGTTGTTCATCGATTTGCTCGAGCGGGCCCAGTAACATCTCCATTGTAGACTTTGTTGTTACTGTGTTTGGCATATCGAATACGTCACGGGTAGCTTACCAGGCTCTGCCCTGCGGGCGAGATCCTCTCGGTAGCTTGCCGGGCTCTCCGAGAGGGGCGGAGGAATCGAACTCGGGTCGGCCATGTTGGCCGCTTGTAAGGCAAACGCCCTACCCGCTGTGCTATCGCTCCAGCCCTATTGCATAATAGAGCAAAAATATCTCTATATTATGAAAGTACTTCCATTTTCTTTTCTCTTTTATTCCTCATATTTTTTGGGCCACACCCAGTGGTGCTCAGGATTTATTCTTGGTTCTCTACTCAGGGATCACTACTAGCAGGGGTTGGGGGACCATATGTGATGCTGGAGATTGAACCTGGGTTAATCAAGTACCAAGGCAAATGCCCTACCTGCTGCGCACTCTAGCCCTACTTTCTTTTCTTTTTTTTTTTTTTTAATTTTTATTAGTGAAACACCATGAGGTACAGTTGTAGACTTACAGATTTTGTGCTTGGGTTTCAGTTATACAATGATCGAGTACCCATCCCTTCACTAGTGCCCATTCTCCACCTCCAGTGCTCCCTTATTTTCTTATAGCGGGAGTGTCTCCTGGTTATGATTCTGTTAAAGCTAAAAACAAGAAGCTAGTTATAATGAAAGTATGTTAACTTACAATTTATTGTAAATATTAGAATATTTCCCTTAGTTCTCTGAAAATTGTGAGGAATTGTCATAAATTAGAATAAGGTTTGGCATATCAAGTACGTCATGGGTAGCTTGCCAGGCTTTGCTGTGCGGGCAAGATACTCTTGGTAGATTGCTGGGCTCTCCGAGAGGGGCGGAGGAATCGAACTCGGGTCAGCCATGTTGGCTGCGTGCAAGGCAAACGCCCTACCTGCTGTGCTATTGCCCGGCAAGCTACCGAGAGTATTCGATATGCCAGACACAGTAACAACAAAGTCTCCAATGGAGACGTTACTGGGCCCGCTCGAGCAAATCAATGATCAACGGGAGGGCCTTTATTTTATTATTTATTTAGAATAAGGTATTTGTTTCGGTGATAGGCACCTAGAATAGCATGATGTCTTGGGTTGAAGTGATAGTATAGTGGGTAGGATGCTTGCCTTGCACACAGCCAACCCGAGTTGGTTCCCAGCATCCACATGGTCCTCTAACCGCAGACTACAAAGCATTTTGGGTTTTGGGTTCAGCCCAGCAGTGCTCAAGGGCTGTTCTGGGTTCATGATCAAGGGTTGCCATCAGCAGTGCTCATGAAGGCATGCAGTGCCAGGGATCAGAGCATATACTGAGCCTGTTGAGTTTATCTCTCCAGCCCATGTGCGGTGTGTTTTAAACTTCATGATACAAGTTTGTTGTCACAGATATCCTACCCATGGTGCTCTTTCCTCAGTTCCTGAAATGTATCTTTTTTGAGGGGGCTGGAGAGACACACACAGTGGTGCTCAGGGCTTATTTCTGGCTGTGTCTTCAGAAGGAACTGCTGGAAGTAACCGTGTGTGGTGCCAGGGATCAAACCAGGTCTCTTTGTGTGCAAGGTCAGTGCCTTACCTCCAGTACTGTTCTCCATCTTCTGCAGTGTATCTTGTTTTATATGGGGCAAACCCAAGTTGAATTCCTGAGCACCACCAGGAGTGATCCCGAATCCAAAGCTGAAATAAGCCTTTCTCACTGCCTGGTATGACAAAAAAAAAAAAAAAAGAACAAAAGAAAAAAATGTTATCCGGGAATGTGGTTTTATTATTAACTAATTGTGTGTTTAAAGTAAGATGAAAGAGTGAAACGCAAAAGAAGAAACGCAAAGTGAAAATGTCCCCTTCACTAAAAAAAAAAATTAGGTACCAAATTGTTGAAGTAATGCAATTAAATTTTTACTTTTACAAAGTCATTGTTAAGATTTTACAGTTTATTAGAAGGCAGCAGTTGTGTTTAAGGAGAATTAAGTCTATTTTTGCATATTTTTTCATGACATGAACCAGTGTTAAAGCAGAAAACAGGTTTGGAGGATGGCTCAACTGCTGGAGAACATGCCTTTCATGTATGAGACCCTGAATTCCAGCCCTCGAACTGTATCGCACTCCATAACCCCTGAGCATTGTCAGTTGGCCGAAGCATCCCTGGGTCAGCACTAATGGCCCTCAGTACCGCCTCCTTGGCTTTGGTGTCCTTCAAGCACTGCATCACCAGCTCACACTAAACCATCACGCCTGTATTGTTATGAGGGACCCCTTCCTATTCAGACAAAAAAAGATAGGAAACAGTGAAGTGAAAACAATATTTGAAGTATATATAGAAAAATGTGATGTAAGTGTGGAGGACCAGGGAGATGGCTTAAAGGGCCAGAGCACATGCTTTGCATGCGGCTTTGATCCCTTGGTATCACGTGTTCTGCCAATCACCTCAAAGAGTAGGACATCTTGAGCACCACTGGATGCGAACCCACTCGCCCCCTAAAACACTGGTGAGAGAAGATTTTGGGTTTCAGTAAAACTTGAATAGGAAATTTGGATTTACAGCAGAAGCTTACAAAGTGTTAGGAGCCCTGAATAGGTGTGAAATAAGGGACCGAATAGCTGAATGTATAGGGCTCATTAGGGTCCCTCCACTCTTCAGCTAGGGCAGCCATATTTTCATATGTTTTAGATATTGTAGTGTCACAAAGCTGTTTGAACTCGGAACAGAATAACAGAAGTGTAAGGCAAAAAGATTTGCTCCCAATTTTCAGGTGTGACCCCAAGACAAAAAAACAAAACAAAACACTTTAAAAAGTTTATCCTTGATGTCTTAGCTGTTTTTAGTATCACTATACTGATATACTGATTTTATATTAACTTACCTAAAAGAAAAGATGTATGATCAGAACTGATTTTTGAAATATTTAGACAAGCCCTGTTTAAAGATATAATGCAAAATATGTCATTTTAAATTCTCTAGCAACCACATAAAGTTGAATTTAAAATTTTAATAATATATTAACCCTGTCATGCAACAATACATTAATTTTCATATATATGCAATATAAAATTGTTAGCACTGTAGCACTGTCCTCCTGTTGTTCATCGATTTGCTCTAGTGGGCACCAGTAACATCTCCATTGTGAGACTTGGTGTTACTGTTTTTGGCATATCGAATATATCATGGGTAGCTTGCTAGGCTTTGCTGTGCAGGCGAGATAACTCTTGGTAGCTCGCCAGGCTCTCTGAGAGGGATGGAAGAATCGAACCCGGGTCGGCCGCGTGCAAGGCAAACACCCTACCTGCTATGCTATTGCTCTGGCCCATAAAATTATTAATAAAAATGTTTCATTAAGTCTTTGAAATCTAGTGTATATTACACTTTTACATTGGTTTTTTTTTAATTTTTTTAAAGTTTGGTTTTTGTTTTTGGGACACACTCAGCAGTGCTCAAGGCTTACTTCTGGCTCTGGGTTCAGGGATCACTCCTGGTGGGTTTGGGCACTTGATATGTATGCCAGTATCGAATTGAGGTTGGCTATGTGCAAGGTAAAACAACCTTTCTGCGAGGCTGGCTATGTGCAAGGCAAACAACCTTTCTGCTATGCTATTGCTTCAGGCCCAACTGGTCGCATTTAAAATGGTCATTTATGGGCCAGAACAATAGTACAGTGGGTGGGTGCTTATTTGTTGGTGGTTGATACAGGTTCAATCCCCCAGCATCACCAGGAGTGATCCCTGAGCTCAGAGTCAGGAGTAAGTGGGTGTGGTCCACCGCCCTCCTCACCGCCAAAAAAGCTCATTACTCACATGTGATATCTAGCTATACATTACTTAAAAATATGTTAAAATCCTAACTTAAAATAGGAGTAATGTGAGGGCCTGGAGGTAGGGTGCTTGTTCTGCATGCAGCTGATCTGGGTTCGGTGCCCAGCCCCTCATATGTTCCCCTAAGCCCTGCTCAGAGTGATCCCAGAGCCTGGAGACAAGAGTTTCCCCTGAACACCGCTGAGCGTGACCCCAAAACTGAAACAAAGAAATAGCAGTGTGGACTTTAGAACCAGATCTTATTGGATGTATATTCCTGTATTGGCTGTTTGTCAACTATTTGAAATAGTCTCTTTAGTCTTCTGAGCTTTGTTTCCTAGTGCATAAGAGGATGTGTAAATTATATAAAAATATAGGCCCTAATAAATGACATTGTTGAATATTCATAGAATGGGGAGATTATAGAACAGAGTAGTTAGAGCAGAAAATGCTCTTTGGAATTGACTTTTTAATTTTTAAACGTTTTGTATTTTTGTCTTTGAAAAAACGTAAGCACTTCAATTGAGATAATTTTGTAATTATTTGATCCTAAATTGATAAGCCAAGGATTTATTGTAAATTCAAAAACCTGTTAGATGAACTTCAAGTTATAATTAAATTTTTTCATTATTGTGTCCTGTTTTTAACTGCTTTCCCAGATTGGTAGCATACGTCTCAATCTCTAGAGAATACTTGAAGACATCATACAGAACAATATATTGAATAATCTTTATTAGTTTAGCAAAATGTTCAACAGTAGTGAATATTTATTCATCTGAAAATCTAGAATTTTCCTTCTGATGACACAGATTTTTAAAAAAAATCTCTGCAGGCCAGTGACATATCAGTCATACCGGGAATGTACGTTGGAGACTGAAGTTCATGCCAGCGGCTGGAATAAGGTATTAACTAAAGTAACTTTTCTTTTACAAGATTTTATAGATTTTAATTTTATATTGATATAGACCAAATTGCTAGCATATTATAAGAGAAACTGTTAGGACTTGTTAAGTATTTTTTGATTTGTGGGGCACATCTGGCAGTGCTCAGGACTTATTCCTAGCTTTGTACTCGAGAATCATTCCCTGGAGGTGCCTGGGGGACCGTACGGGGTGCCAGGGATCAAACCCAGGTTGGCAGACGCCTGCCTCCTGTCCTATCTCTCCAATCCGTTTCTTTACTTTTTGTTTTTTTGTTTTTTGGGGGATGTACCTGGCAGTGCTCAGGGCTTATTCCTGGTTTTGTGCTTATGAATCACTCCTGGTGGGTCTAAGGGAACCATATGGGGTGCCAGAGAGTGAACTCAGGTCGGCAAATGCCCTATCTGCTGTACTGTCTCTCTAGCCTGTTTCTTTTCTTTTTCTGTTGTTTTGTTTTGTTTTGTTGGGACATACCTGGATGTGCTTATTCTTGGCCCTGTGCTCAGGAATCACTCCTGGCAGGGCTAGGAGAACCATATGTGGTGCCAGTGATCCAACATGGATTGGCTGCATGCAAGGCGAGCACCCTGCCCGCTGTACTATCACTCTGGCCCTGTTTCATTTTTTTGTTTGATTTAGTCCCTCATCTGAAGCAAAGGGCAACTACTGATTTTCAAGGCTGTGGCCTGAATACCTAATATAAATGAAGCATGCCAGTTAGTTATGCATCCATAAATAATACTTGCTCCACTTAATTTTTTGACTCACTGAATATTACTTCATGGCCAAAAAGAACTGACTTACGTTTTAATAGTCAACTTAAATCATGAAAACCTTCCCCTCAACTCCTAGTCAAAGTCAGGTTTGCTAATTTAACATAGCTAACTCAAACTTTACATGTAACATAAGTGTTTGCAAAATTCTGGTAGCACCGTCCTCCCGTCGTTCATCAGTTTGCTCGAGCAGGCCCAGTAACATCTCCATTGTGAGACTTCTTGTTTCTGTGTTTGGCATGTTGAATACATCACGGGTAGCTTGCCAGGCTCTGCTGTGCAGGCGAGATACTCTCGGTAGCTTGCCGGGCTCTCCAAGAGGGGCAGAGGAATCGAACCTGGGCTGACCAGGTCAGCTGTGTGTAAGGCAGACGCCTTACCCACTGTGCTATTGCGCCAGCAAAATTCTGGTACAACATTTTATTTTATTTTATTTTGCTTTTTGGGAATCACACCCAGTGATGCTCAGGGGTTACTCCTGGCTCTGCACTCAGGAATTATTCCTGGCAGTGCTGGGGGGCCATATGGGATGCCCGGGATCGAACCTGGGTCAGCCATGTGCAAGGCAAATGCCCTACCCGCTGTACTATCGCTCCGGCCCCTGTTACAACATTTTAGTAATATTCTTATATGAACATGGCTGATGACAGATGAATGAGCTTACCACCCAAAAAGAAGTTTTTATTAATTTTGGGTGTTTGGCAGTGGCCAAGAGCTACTCCTGGCTCTCTCTGTGTTCAGGGGTCATTTATGGTAGTGCTTAGGGAATCATATTTGTTGCTCGGGATTGAACTGATATTAGCTACATACAAGGCAAGAGATTTAACCCTTGTGCTAACACTCCAGCCCCCCAAATAGATTTTAAAATAATCTCTTAGAGGCTCCACAGAGATAATACAACAGGTAAGGTGCTTGCCTTGCATGCAGTTCATCTGGGCTCAATTTCTGGTGCCCTATATGGTCCCTCAGGCCCTGTCAAGGCTCTAGGTCACAGAGCCAGGACTAGGCCCTGAGCACAGCTGGATGTGGCCCAAAAAACAAGTGAATAAAAAATTTAAATAATCTTTTAGAATGCTATTTAAATGTATCAAAAAATTGAGGGGAAAATGATAAAAATATATGAACTATTTTAAAATATCTTTGTACGTGTAGATTGTGTAACATGTATATGCCTAAGAAAAGTAATTGAAATATGTGCCCCAAATGCTAAATAATACATAGTAGTTATCTCAGAATTATAGGTGAGTTCATTTTGCTTTTTCACCATGGACACTACTTTTTCCTATGTACTTGCCTGCTTATCTATCAGACAAAAAAAAATGAGTCAAAGAGCGACAGCTAGAATTTTAGTGCAGTTTATATGATGTTTAAGGCATTGCTTTAGGAAATAGCAAAGATAAGAGAATTCTTTTTTGGGTCACACCCAGCGATGCTTGGGTTACTCCTGGATCTGTGCTCAGAAATTATTCCTGGCAATGCTTGGGGGACCATATGGGATGCGGGGGGGTTGAACCTGGGGGTTGAACCTAGGGTTTGAACCCGGGTCAACCCCATGCAAGGCAAACACTTTACCTGCTGTACTATTGCTCCAGCCCAATAAATGAATTCTTTACCTTGGTTAATTAGTCTTTTGTCTCAAATGTATTCTTTCAAACCCGTGTTTGAATTGTGATCCCGAGACCAAACATTTAATTTGCTGTGTTACTAATTTGATGTCAGGGATTGAACCCAGTTGACTGCATGCAAGGCAAGGAATTTACACTCTGTACTATCTTTCTGACCCTTGGTATCTACTTTTTGGAACATGAAAGATGTAGTAGATTGTTAGGGGAAATTGGAATGTTTTCAGTTATATTCATTACATTCCAGGCCTTTGCAGTTATTCTGATATTGTCCCTACTTAGACAATGAAGAAAAGAAAGACAAAATACTGGTACTAAATGAACAGTTTTGTTTTTAATAGTATAAGTTACTTTAAAAAATATGTAATACATCCTATATAGCCTTAATTGTTCCTCTTAAGTTTTTAGGGTTCTAGGCTGGGGATGCGATTCAGTGAAGGAATATTAGACTTTCATGTGAGCCTCTACCCACAACTTTGATCCTTGTCACCTCCAAAAGGTGTCATTTATTTTCGTTATTTATTTTGTTCTTTGTGCCACACTGAGTGCTGTTCGAGGTTTGCTCCTGGCTCTGTGCTTAGGGACCACTTGTGGTGGTGCTCAGGTACCATCTGTGGATCAAACTGGGATCAAACCCAGGTTTGCTGCAAATAAAGCAAGTGCTTTAATTTCTGTACTCTCGGCCCCAAAATGTGTTTTTAATTTATTTTGAGCTAGAATTTTATTAGGCTGTGAAAAATTGAACACATATTTGTTATGCTTTTTCAGACTTGATCTATATTTCCTTATATGCCAATATAATGTAAACATAAGCTCATTTTTTTTCTGTTTGCCCTCTCTGCAGAAACATAATGCTCAGTTATTACCTTGGCAGTTCTGTAACAGAAAATGGAATTGATTTCATTTCCTCTATCATTCCTTTTCTAGTCACGAGGAGACCTTTTTATATTAACTACAAAAGAGATACCATATAGTTAACTGAACATATCTAGTTTGTTTTAATATGCAATGTTTCTTAGAAGGCAAGAGACTTGAGTTTCTGTCATGAATTTTGATGGCTTTTAGATATTTGGAATGACAGTAATCCTTTGGTTTTTGATGACTTATAGAACTTCAGACTTTCTAATTTTCATATAAAAGCACGTGATATAAAGTACAAACAGTACAGAAAGATGCGCATCTAAAGATGTGTTTCTCCTGTGGCTGGAGCAATAGCACAGCGGGTAGGACATTTTGCCTTGCATGCGGCTGACCCGGGTTCAATTCCCAGCATCCCATATGGTCCCCTGAGCACCACGAGGAATAATTCCTGAGTGCATGAGTTAGGAGTAACCCCTCCCTGTGCATCGCCAGGTGTGACCCAAAAAGCCAAAAAAAAAAAGAAAAAAAGAAAAATAAAGTTTTTCCTGCTGGGGTTTTTGCTCAGTGGTAAGACTGCATGCTTTGCATGTTTGAGGCCCTGCACCAAATAAAGTTAGCACTGTCCTCCCGTTGTTCATCCATTTGCTCCAGCAGGCCCAGTCTCTCCATGGTGAGACTTGTTGTTACTGTGTTTGGCATATGAAGACATCACAGGTAGCTTGCTGGGCTCTCTGAGAAGGGCGGAGGGATCGAACCCGGCTTGGCCGGGCCGGCTGCACGCAAGGCAAACGCCCTACCACTGTGCTATTGCTCCAGCCCAAATAAAGTCAAAGTTATGAAAATTTATATAGACAAACTATAAAAAACAACAGAGGCTGGAGCCATAATACACTGAGTAGGGCACTTGCCTTGCATGCGGCTGAGTGGGCTTAATCCCTGGCACCCTGTTTGTCCCCAAAGCCCACCAGGAGCGGTCCCTGAGCATAGAGCCAGGAGTAAGCTGTGAGTGCTGTCAGATGTTGCCTAGAAACCAAACCAAAACAAGACAAAAAACAACAACAAAAACTGAATCAGAGCGATGGTATCTACCTTGCATACAGCTGACCAGGTTGGAACCGCTGGCCTTCCATTGGTCCCAAGAGCACTACTAGGAGTGATTCCTTTGCACAGAGCTAGGAGTAAGCCCCAAGCTTCTCTGTACGTGGTCCCCAAAAGTCTACTGAAATAAAACATAAAATTAACAACCTTGTTCACAGTTGTGTAGTTTTTCCTGTTTTTAGGCAACCTCTATTATCAGTTCTTTTTTTCAGATACAGGAAAGTATCTAGTATACACACATATATGTGTATGTATGGTTTTATTTGTTTCCTTACAACTAGTATCATTATTGTATCGTATGTTTTACTTAAAATAAATCTTAGTCATTTGGCAGTGAAAAGATCTAATTAAAAAATATTAGGTGACCTAGGGCTGGAGCGACAGCACAGCGGGTAGGGCGTTCGCCTTACAAGCGGCCAACATGGCCGACCCGAGTTCGATTCCTCCGCCCCTCTCGGAGAGCCCGGCAAGCTACCGAGAGTATTCGATATGCCAGACACAGTAGCAACAAAGTCTCCAATGGAGACGTTACTGGGCCCGCTCGAGCAAATCGACGATCAACGGGAGGGCCTTTACCTTTACCTTTAGGTGACCTTTGGGCTAGAGCCATAGTACAGCTGGTAGGGCATATGTTCCTTTGGGTCCCACATGAGTTATCTCTAAGCACAGAACCTGGAATAAACCTTGAGCACGTCTGGTTGTGGTCCTAGAACACAACAAAGAAAATTAGGTGATATTGGATTATGTGACTAAAATTTACTTATTCAAGCTTTCCTGGGATGTTTCCAATTTTACGCTATTATAATACTGCTTTAGTGAATTTTTTATGCAATATGTTGTTTTCAGTTTATTTAAAATGTTTTATTTAATAACATTTCTCTCTTGCTTTCTCTCTTTCACATACACATATATGAATCTAATTTCTTCCATAGAATTATTTCTACCACCCAGTAGTACAAAATCTACCATAGTCACAAAAATGCAATAGCTGTTAAAATTTTAGCAGCGGGGGCCAGAGCAATAGTACAATGTGTAGGGAATCAAAGTAATCCGGTTTGATTCCCAGCACCCAGCACCTGAGCTCACCAGGAATGATCCCTGAGCATTGAGCATGACTAGGTGTGAACCAGAAACAAAACCAAAAATTTTATTAGGAACCAGTGGTTTATTTTCTTTAGTTATAATAAAAATGAAATATTGTAATAATGAATACACTATACTAATAATGATTTTCTAACAGTTGATGAATACAAGATGAATTATAAAAATTTCAATTTGTATTTTTTTTTTACTTTCATTGTTCCGTTGAAGATTTTGGTGCCCCTGGTTTTGCTACAGCAAATGCTTTTGGAGTTGGCAAGACGTGGTCAAGAACCTTTGAGTGCATTGCTGCAGTTTGGTGTGACATATTTGGAGGATTGTGCAGCAGAATACATCATTCAGCAAGGTGGCTGGGTATGAATTGTAATTAAAAAAATCATTTTTTAATTAAAAATCAAGTCCCTCATTAAAGCATTTTAATGCTTTATTGCTATTTTAATAGTATAGCAATCATATTGAAAACTAATAAATGGAAAGGATAGTCATACAGTTTAAGATTTTACTTACAGTAAGTGATGTGATACTTTAAAAATGGTTCTTAATTTTGAAAACTGTATGTTAACGAAACTTTAGGTGGTAAGGAATAATAAAATGAACACTTAGATATTTGCTATCTCCAAGAACACAATCAGTACTTTTGAATCTCCTTATACATCTTTTTGATATTTGAATCTGCTTCATAAGAATAACTTCTACTTTAAACATTAGTTGCATTTAATTATGTATCATTTAATTATGGTTTAATGCTGTACATTCATATATAGCTAAGTAGTATATTTTGGACTATATATACATACTTTCATACTATATATATTTGTCTATCACTTTTTTCCCAATTTTTTGAGGGGGGAGCCAAAAATAAATACAGCCGCGGCTTTGGGATTTCTCCTGGTTCTTTGCTCTAGGATCACTCCTGGTGGTAGTAAGGGGACCACACGTAGTGCTGGGGATTGAACCTGGGTTGGCTGCATGCAAGGCAAGCACCTCAACCTCGGTACTATCTCTCTGGTTCTAAACTTGGTTTCCCTTGCACCCCCCACTGCACACACACTCTTGTTTTTGAGATTCATTAGGTCATTGTTTTTCAGTACTCTTTTTATTAATACTTCTCATTGGATCCTATTTGTACATTTTCCCCCTAATGATTTTACCTTCAGACTCTGTGCCAGGCTGTGGGGCGGGTGAGAGCCCTCCCCACCCCAAGGGACCCAGCCCCTGCAACCGACCTCTACTACCCCGTCACAGCCACGCTCCAGGCTGCTTTCCGGACACATTATAAGACACTTCCTACCCATTTCCCACAATCACTGCACCATATCTGATGGGATTCAGACAATAGGCAACAAATATTAGAGAGAAATACACAAATGTATGCCTCTTGGAGAGCCCGGCAAGCTCCCGAGAGTATACCGCCCGCATGGGCAGAGCCTGGCAAGCTCCCCGTGGCATATTCGATATGCCAAAACTAGTAATGACAACAGGTCTCATTTCCCTGACCCTGAAAGAGCCTCTAATCGTTAGGAAAAGACGAGTAAGAGGCTGCTAAAATCTCTGGGCTGGAAGGAATAGAGACGCCCGCTTGAGTAATTCAGTGATTAATGGGATGACAGTGATACAGTGATTTTTACATTGCCACTATAAAACTTTCATTTTTCCACTGACTAATGATGCAGAAACACCATGGAATCATAATACTATGGCCTAAGCTGTTTATGTACCATGACCTATTTTTGGTTTATTTGGTGGGCCGCACCCTGCAGTGCTTGAGGGATCATATAGTGCTGGGGAGTAAACCCAGACCTCTTGCTTGCAAAGCATGCAGTTAGCCCACTGAGTCTCTGGCCTCTGCTTAGTGCTTGATGTTATCAGGGAACCATGCAGTTCTGAGGATCAAACTCGGGAGTGTTGTGAACCTTTAGAAGATCACAAACCATTGTAAGAATTTTGTCTCCAAAAACCAGTTTTCCTTTTTTGGGGAGTAGGGTGTTTGGGGCCACACACAGCAGTGCTACGGGGCTATTCCTGGCTCTGTACTTGGGGGTTTGCTCCCTAGCAGAAGTCAGGGGACTGTGCTATGCTGGGGATTGACCCAAGGTTGGCCATTTACAAAGCAAGTGCCTTAACTCCTAGCTCTCTAAACCCAGCTCAATTTTTGTTTTCAAAATCATATTGTTTGAAAATGCATGCTCTAGTATGTTGTTTGTATTTGGTATTCCTTGTGTAAATATATCACTGTTTATGGTCTGACCAGTAAAGAGTTTCTATTTTTGCTATTTCAAATTTTGTTGTATGAACTTTTTGTTGTTGGCTCACATACAAACGGTGCTTAGGGCTAAGTCCTGACTGACTCTCCACTCAAGGATCAGGAGACCTATGGGGTGCAGGGAATCAAACCTGGCTTCAGCTGTGTACATGGCAGTTAGTTGCCTTACCTGCTATACCATCTCTCTGACCCCATTCTATTTTTTTTTTTTCCTTTTTGGGCCATACCCGGCAATACTCAGGGCGAAGACCTGACTCTGTGCTCAGGATCACTCTTGGTGGAGCTTAGACTTAGGAGACCAAGAAAATAGAAATAATTTATAATGTCAACATTTTGTTTGAAATAGTTTTCTAATTAACACTGTCAGTAAATTTATAACGAATTTTGTTATTTTGTGTCTTTTTTTCTTGACCCTTTAGTGTTGCTTGATTTACTAATGTTTAAATGATTAAATAAGACTACTTTTTTGACTTTTGGGCCATAGCTGGCAGTGTTCAGGACTTACTTCAGGGTCCGGAGCGATAGCACAACTGGTAGGGCGTTTGCCTTGCATGCAGCCGACCAGGATTCAGTTCCTCCATTCCTCTTGGAGAGCCCAGCAAGCTACCAAGAGTATCCCACCCACACGGCAGAGCCTGGCAAGCTCCCCGTGGCGTATTCTATATGCCAAAAGCAGTAACAAGTCTCACAATGGAGACGTTACTGGTGCCTGCTCGAGCAAATCGATGAACAATGGGAGGACAGTGGTACAGTGCAGTGCTACTTCAGGGTCAGAGCTTAAAGATCACTCCTGATGGGGCTCAAAGAACCGTATGTGGTTCCCGGAACTGAATCCAGTTTGGCCATATCAAGGCACGTACCCTCTCCACTATATTATTTCTCTGGCCCCAAAATGATACTAAAAATTTGGAATAATTTCAGATTTATTAAAATTTTACAAAGATAAAGATATAACTTCCAACTTGTTTCAACTAGCATTAACATTTTACATAACGATGCAACTTTGTTTTTGTTTTTGTCTTTTTGGGCCACACCAGAGAGTGCTCAGGATATACTTCTTGTGGACTTGGGGGACCATGTGGGGTGGTGGGGATTGAATCAGGTTGGTCACCTGCAGGGCAAGTACAACTACCTGTTGTACTGTCTCTTGCCCCATAGCTATGCTACTTTTGTCAAAACTAAGAGGTTAGAATTTGTGCATTAAATCGACTAATTTCTTTTTTTTTTGTTATTTAAAATTTTTTCTCTTTTCATCTTTTTATAAAGTTGCTCACCATAATTTATTACATTAAATATTCCAACACCATTCCCAGCACCATTATTACACTTTGCCATCACCATTATTTTGAATTTTCCCACCACCACCCAAGCTGTCCCTAAAGCAGGTCTTGAATAATTTATTTTGTATTGCTTGTTATGAATAATCCATTAAAAATTATTTAAAAAGTTTTCAGAGAAACTGTGTAAAGATTGTTGTATCTCACCCTGGAGCCATTTAGCCCTTGTATAAGAGATTCTAACATGGTGTTACAGGTTGAACCTCATATGCTTATATATATATATATATATATATGTATACATATATATATATGCACATATATATATAATTTTTTTTAATTGAGATTGGTTGCCTTTTACCTTACTCTCCATTCAGTGTGGTATGCTACCCTTGGTACATCAGTGGAATAGAGTATGAGATGTCGTGTGGCTGCATGCTCCAGGAATTCTAAAATTTTAAATAGGGTGATGCAGCTGGAGGTGACTTTGGGGTCCAGAGGCATCTCTGCAGCTTGCGGCTCTTTTCTGAGTTTTATTTGTGAGTTTCTGGATCATGGCCATTAATGAGCTATATGGCAGCAGAGGCAATTCATGGGCATGGCTGCCAAGCTCCTGGAACAACAGGGAGATATGGGAAGAGTGCCCATTCCTAACTCTGTAAGACCTTGGAGATTTCAGTCACAAAAGCCGCACACCTGAGTTTTTCAGTAGATTTATTCTCATGGGTGAGGCTTGTCCTGAGCCTGTGAACATGGCGGCAGTTGGGTTCTGGAGGTTTTTGGCTGCCAGGGCTCTGTTGGGACGGGGGCCGGGAGGGCTCACATGCCCTGCCCCCCAGGTTGCCCCGGATGAGACTCAGCATGGTGTGGTGTCTGGGGGCATCTCTGCAGCTTGTGGCTCTCTTCTGAGATTTATTTGTGGGTCTCTGGATCATGCAATCAACTAATCTCGAGACTTTATATTATTTTATGTTTTCCAAATAATGACACTTTTCTGTTTCAGGATTAATACAGGTTACTACAAGATATAGTATAGTTCTATAATAATTGTATTATATACTCAAATTTAGAGACTTACTAATTTTTCACTAATTGTGGATATAAAAATGATTTATGTTGTATCTCTGTGAAGCTTTGACCTTTAATCATGTTTGTATTTCTTCCACTAAGTACCTTAGTTTTGAATCATTTTTTCCTTTCAATTGAACTGTTTTTTTTTTGGGGGGGGGGCACACCTGGCAGTGTTCAGGGTTTACTTCTGGCTCTGAGCTTAGGATCATTCCTGTCAGGCTATGGGGAGCATCCTACCCTCTGTACTGTCTCTAAGGCCCCTTGTATTCATTCATATGTGTGTATATATATATATATATATATGAATATATACATATAGTAGTTGTTTATCAGGTATTTATTATAAATATATTCCTTTAATTTGTGACTTCACTTTTAAAATTATTATTGATCAGTCTAAAATTTTAAATTTCTATGTATTTTATAAATATTTTTCCTTACTGTTTATGGCTTTTTTTTTTCAACATAGGTTTTTGTTGTTTGGGACCACGCTTGACTAAAGTTAGGTCTTTCTGTTGTCTCTGTGCCCAGGGACCAATTCTGGTAGTGTTCGGGGGACGTATGTGGTACTGGTGATCAAACTTGGATCAGCCTTGTGCATGGCAAGCACCCTTCCCCTGTATCTCCCAACATAGCTTTAGTTTTTTCATCTTCCTTTCCCTTTGTCGTTGTGTGTACTGGGGTTTATACATGTTCTGGAAGTGATACTTGTACTTTTTAGTTGTGTATCTTGCTGGAGCTGC